TTTGATGTTTTTTGGAGCTGACATCTTGTGTCTATATGCTGAGTCAGTAAAAATGTAAAGGTCCTTAGGACTGTTTTCGCTAAAGTGCGAGTTGTTTTTTGAAGTTTTGTTTTCGGTGTTGTTACTATTCAGAGTTGCTAGTGAGAGGTTTTCAAAGTTGACACCTCTTTTAGGTCAAGTTCAGTATTTAGAACAAGTTTAATTAAGGGCCCAAAATTGGTTTACTTAGTAGTTATTGCTGTATTTTTGCTAGAAAGTTTTTTGCTTTTTGTCTAGTTTTGGTAAAATAATCTATGAAGAAGAGTTCATTCCTTTCTAATAAAACTTTCTATACAGCTTTTTTTTATTTTATTATGATTAGTTTTCATTTTTTTTTAAAAAGTACTCTAAACTGTATAAATAATGTAAAATTAAATTGAATTTATTAGCCAACAGACGAACTTCTGGCTATAAGTGTACTAGTATTACTTTATTAGTTTTCTGACTTATATGAGGAATCCTCATTTGCAGAACATAAGTGTACCTCTATTGGCGAAAATCACATGAGGTGGACATCAAAACATTTCATGTTACACATTCATGTAATCGCACTGTAAAGCAAAACTCATGCAACACATATAAATCATTAGTAAAAAAATACAATGCAATCATATTTTAACTCTGATTCTATTTCTCTGTTTCTCTATTTCAGTTCTGTTACTCCATCTCTCGGTTCTGTCTTACTGCTTTGATTTTGTTTCTCTATCTTTTTGCTTTTATTCTGTCTCTCTAAACTATGAATACTATTAGTAAATTATGAGAATATTGCTTAATGTGTTATAAAATGTTTCTAATATAATATATATATTTTTAACTATCTCTTACTTGAAAAAATATGCAAAACATTCATATCAAAGTTTTTAAAGGCTTGTCATGATGAAGTTATTGCTTATTACCTTTATTAAATGATTAGATTGATATTGACAATGCCTGGATTGGTATTTTTTAAATAAAGCAAAACAGTTATTGGGTACAGATTCATTCAATGCTTTGAAGAACAAAGTGAGTTTTTTTATTTATACAAAGAAATAATCCATATTTACATAAAACATCAGGGAATAAGAAATTTTTTGAAATATAATTACATTTTTAAATTACTTGCTTAGCAACTCTTTTAAACTATATATAAATACAATGAACCTTTATATAATAAGTTCTAAATATAATGAACTTAGTATTTTAAAAAAATTTCATAGTATTTCAGTCTGAAAAATGCAATAAGTCTTTAAAAAATTATAGTAATTTTTTAAAGTAATCTTTTTTTTCTTTTAGAATTATTAGTTTATTATAAAAAGAATTGATTATATTATTATATTCAACTAGAGTTGATGTGTAATGTACTTGATAAGCAAATAATACATATTATAGTGCATATATGTTTCTTTCAATACTAAATAAAAGTTATTTTTTTATATTATTTTTTTTTTAATAGGTTAATTTAAAATATGTTATAATAGTTTAAAAAACTAATGGCAGATAATTATCAAATAACAAAGACATAAGTAAATCTTTGTAATATTTTTGTACTATATACAAATTCTACTAAAGAAAATAATTTTCAGATTTTTTTTTCAAAAGTAATCTTGTCTGTATGTCTTTTTTATTATTAGTAATATATGATTAAATATTATATACAGAGTATATTAATGAAAGTACAACTAGTTACATGTATAACTTTAGTTAAGGGTTTTACTTATAGATTGCTTACTAGATGTCATATTTAAGACCTGTATGAGTTTCCTATTTAAACTTTCTAATTTTCAACACTTACTACATATATATACAATGTATATTACTATTATCATAACTAGAGATAGGTACTATGCACATTTTTGAACCATACCATGCTGCATAATGCATGTGACTTTCATGAAGCACATAATATGCATGATAATGTGCATGCCAGATAGCAAGTAATAAATAAGTGATTTTGTATTAGTCTCTAGCACTAAAGGCCGATCAAATTCAAAATTATAAAATCATAAATCAGACATATTATAAACATAGTAAAATATTGTCAAACTTTTAACTTTTATTTTGTGGATCATACAAATATGTATGAGTTTTTAGGCTCATGCAGGTTCCTAAAACTTGAAAAATTATTAAAAACTGCATTGCATATAAAGAAATAAATATAAGTTATAATCTATTGCCATATGACATCTTTTAAAAATATTATAATTAATACATATTAATATTCACAAATCCTTATTTATTTTAATTAAAAAAAAAATACATAAGCAATTTTACAATGCCAAAATAATGTTAATCTTCATTTTTACATTCTACTTTACTATCTGATTCTTCATTATTAGTTTCTTTGAAGTCAGAATAAATTTCATTTTCTATATTATCATCTTCTCCTAAATCATTATCTACTGGATCTAACAAATTAACACTATCTTTAAGTAATTTAAGTTCTGTTGTGTTAGTCTACTATTTAATCATATTTCAGCTTCTGTTGTTTTAGGAAATTCTTTTTGTGGCTTAGTAAGTTTATAGTTGCTATAAATGTATACTAATTTTAATAACTGTTCATTAATAATTGATATCTTTTTTTTTCATATATATATGAAAAAGCAGACCAATTTTGTTCTGAGGCTGCTGATAAAGAAGGAATTAGAAGAATCCTAATTGCCATTTTGCACAATTCTGATACTGAATTTTTAAAGTTCAGTTTCCACCATGCAACAAAATTGATTTTACCAACAGTTTTCCATGCCAATTGAAGGCTAAATGCACCTGTTTTAGTTTTATATTCTGTTAATTATTGCCAAATTATGTTTGCATCATGTGGATAATATTGTTGAACGAATTGTGATATTATTGATATGCTATTTTCTGGAAGTTTATAACTATAATATTGTAGGTCCAAAAGATGTACAATTGACATTAATAGGTGATATTTTTTTCAATGATCTGCTAATATAGTTTTAATTTTATTACTTACTGCTAGAAAAACATATTCTAAATAAACAAAATTGATAATAATAAATATATAGTATATAGGTAAAATTATACAATATATATATATAATTTTTATCATCTGATTCTATTTGTTCATAGTACCAAAAATAGAACAATACTAATCATGATATATCAGATTCAAATAATGAAATGCCAGTAACTAATTTATTTACTACTAAAAGAAGGCTTTTAGTATCCTTCCAAAAAACATCATCTTCAATGATTTTACAAATTGATTCTGATAATTTATCATGACTATTATGCATTATTTCTGTAATTGCTAGTTTTAGTGCAAGCTGATTTTGTAAAACTGAATTCAAGCATATAGCTGAAGATTCTCATCTCGTTTTAACTGAATATTTCAATGAAATTTTTTTTGGCAAGTTGCCAATTGATGTTGTTTCAAGATGGCCATTAGAATCTGATGTGAATGAAAATATGAAATGATTGCATTGGCATTTTTCAAAATATTAATACTCTATAGTATTTGTAAAATGTTTCCAATTAAAAGGTTTAGGCTATGAGCTACACAACCTAGAAATAATATTGTAGGGTACTTTATTTCTAATAAATGCCAGACTTTTTTCATCACAGAAGTGTTATCAGTAACTACAGATGAAATTTTTGTTAAGCCAATTTTAAGGATTATTTTTTTCAAGTTCTCAGTGATTGTTTCTTCATTTTGATGTATTTCGCCAGTTGGATATGCAGTATAAAAAATAGATTTAAGAGTCATTATAATATAGTTAGTCCAGTGCTCTTGTACTAAATTTGACCACCCATCAGATATGAGACACATGTTTGTATTTTCATTGATTAAACTGTCAATACCATGTTTTGTTTCATTAAAAATACATTCTAAAAGTTTTGTAAAAAGATTTTTTCTGTTAGGCAATTTAAAACTCAGCTTTGCTTGTTTCTATAGATCTTTAATAGAATTCATTTCTGATAATGATAAAAATAGACCACAACAAAATATTGACTTTGCAAATGCTAGTTCAAGTAATTTCTGTTCTATTTTTGATATATAGTTAACTTTACTTAATTTTGATACCAGAGGTAAGGGTGAAGCAAATTCCAATGTTGAAGTAAGTATATTATCATCACTTTCCTCATATTGGTCACTAAAATAATTTTTTTTGTGCTACAGATATCTTGGTGCATCATCGAACATGTGTGTAAGCTGGTCTAAATGAATTGTTAATTTGTTGTTTGCATTTTTTACATTTTTTTCACTTCTGTTTGTATCTGGGCACATGTCTTAATATAATAAAAAGGTCTTATATTGGATCCTGTAATGTCATTTTGAATTTTTATATAGAAAAAATCACAAAAAAAAATTCTTATTTTTATAGTTGATTGCTATGATGTCATAATAGAGTTCAGATTTTTTTTTTTGTTATAACTCATTGTGCTGCGAAATTTTTTTTTTTAATTCACTATAATAATGTTACAATATCTGCATTAAATTTATAAGTCTGGGTCTTTTTAACAAATTGTTTATGTTGCAGATTGCGTTTATGACCTATTATACTTTACATTGTTAGAATGTTCAGAAAAAAAATTTTAATAACTTATTGTGATAATAACTTATTGTGTGCACAAATTAATAATCTTTATTAACTACATATGTACGTATGTATGTTCATACATATTTATAACACTATATGTCAGATTAGAAAAACTCTGACTCAAATTTATAATGATGCATAACATGCATATCAAGCATATGCATAATTGCATGCATGCATAAACACCATGCACATAGTGTCCATCTCTAATCATGACAGAACAGGTTAGAGTTATCTAATTATTATTTATATCTAAGTACTATCTTATTAAATGTTACTAAGTATTTATAGTTTTTTTGAATTTATTCTTAATGCAAATTTACTAAGTATAGTATTAAGATTACCTCATAGATTTATTTATTTTAGTATATTTTGTATTAACTAAATTAGTTTAGTATCAAAAATATTTAAATTTTAATTAGTTCATTCTTTTTTTATAGTTTTCTTTTATGTTTACTGTATCATTTGCTAGTGTGTTTTCTCTTCTTTTTTAGTATATTTATTGTTTCTCTCGAGTTAAGCATCAACATTCCATATTAGGAAACTTTTTTTTAGATCTTTTTTATATACTAATCTTCTATTCACATAAACTTAAGCTATAAGATTTTATATACATTTATATGTTTCTGTAAATTACAAAGTTTTGTCTTTAGCTAGAATTGAACTATTGAACTTGTCTGTAAAGAAAGAGGTGCTTAGATCACTAAGCTATAAGACCTAATTCTTTAAATTTTTAGATTTTTAATTTAAGTCTTTTTTTTTTTATGATATTCAAATACATTATTAAAAATAATTACTAAATAGTAAATATACTATTATTTGATTTTAAAAAACAAAAATCAAAATAAGATTTCAAAACAAAAACAAAGTATAATAGTAAAAATAAAAATAAAGTATAAATAAGAATAACAAAAAAAAATAAGTAAATAAAATAATAAAATAATAACTATATAACATTTAAAAATTATATCAAACTACCAAAATTAATTAATTAGATATATAATAAAATTTAATTAAAACTGTATATAATATATTAAAAAAAAATTTAAACTATATAATAATTATAGTATCTGAAAAATAATCTTATTATAAATTTTATTTAGTTTTTTTAATAAGTGTTATGTAGAAATATTATAATTAATAACATATAATTAAAATTTATTAATATTTTTTTTTTTGGTATTAAGGTGAGGTCTTGCTTATATCTTTATTAATAATTTAAAATAGTTACATATATATATGCT